CCCCACTGTGGGACTGATGAAGGCATCATTCTATAAACCATTGATTTCGATCTTGTAAAAGTAAAAGTCCTCATAAGAGTGTCCTTACCAATGCAGGAGGGTCTTAGGACAGAGAAGTTTTTGTAAAGTCCTCCGAGAAGCGTAGCATTGTTTTATTTTATTGAGCACTTTTTGAGAGACCTGACCGAACATGACAATAATTGGAGTATATTTTGATTAATAACAGATATTACTGGAACATCTGGCTATGAAGCACAAGCTCTGACCAGTGCGCCATCCATAACTAGAGCTTGACATCAAAAGGTTTCACTCCCTCTTCGCAGTTACAGACATTCAATTTAATATCAGCCAAAAAATTGTTTTATGAAAAGAAAGAGCTGAATGTTTTATATCTGTACAGCTCTTCGCCCCAATCAGGATATTGGCTTAATGGGCTGCCCAAACTTTTTAGGGGCTCTTCAGTTCACCAGACTAGTCCAGGGGCCGACATCACAGATTTAAAAACGTGACATTGGGCTGTTCTGAGCTTTATAATGATCTATAACAGAGCTGAAGTGGGCTGAATGACCAATGTTAACCATTTCACCAACTGCATTAGCATCATTAACGGAAATGACACAATCAAAAACCACGTCATGACAGAACGTGCAAATAAAGGCAACGACGTACTGGGCTTTAGAACAAGGTCTATATTGGCTGAGCTGGAGTTGGATGGATGACAAAGTAAGATTAGATAAGATATTCCTTTATTCGTCCCACAATGCTAACTACTTTGGGTTAGCATGGTAGAGGGCTACATAATATGACACTGAGGGCCGCAATCAGCCCCCGGGCCTGAGTTTGGACATGCCTGGCTTGATCAATAACATTAAACCACAGTATACATACAACAGATGGCACCGATATACGATTTCCAGTATCATATCGGTGCATCCCTAATTTCAACTTTGGTGTGTAAACTTTCAAGCACAACTGTAGGACCTTTTCATGTAATATAATTCCAATAAAATACATTCTTCACAAACACGGACTGGCAGTGAGCGCTGGACACAGATTAGGAAGAGCAGGATGAATTTTGCAGTTTGTCGACTCCACACTTTTCCTATTTTGCGTCGGACCATATGTTATTCCTCCGGAAAAAAACAGCTTTGTGTGGCGTTTCCAGCAGCAGTGTGCGTCCGCTCGGTTTGCGTGGAGGCGATGATGAATGGCGTGGTGTTGGCCTCATCTTGGCGTGTTCCCTCGTCGCAGGAAATGAAAGTCTGTCCACACAACACGACGGCGAGAGCGACAAGGGGTAAGATCTGCTCTGGTGACAAGGCTCCTCGCCAAACCAGAGCAGCGAACGGTAACGGCGGCGAGGTTCAGGGCTTCTCAGGCACAAGGCCAGTTTAAATCATTGAGGAAACTGTCCGTGCTTAAGGCCTGAATTCTTCTTATTTTGCTCCATTCACTACAAGATATTAACCTGAATGATAGCAGGCTGGAATTAATGCAAGTGGATAATCTAAACATTTCAATGCATTTAAAAGTAAATGTATGTTACTTTTTTTAGTTTATTTATTATAGTCAAGTGACGAAAGGTCTTTGAATACTGCTAGCTTCCCTAATTATGTTGAGCACTATCAATGTTTTTAGGTTTTATTTGTTTATTGTAGCTCTTGGTTGTCCTTTAAGTTTGTTTTTGCTTTCAGTTTAAAAAAGTTGCCAGATGGGTCGGCTGACAAGACTAACGTTATCTGTGTTTATTGTTGGTGTGAACTAGTTATCACCGTAGCACATTTACTTTGAAGTACCACCTGATGCCAAACACACTGATGCGAATTCCCCTCTGCCGCGTTCTTGTCAAGACATATGGATAGTGCAAAACAAAGAACAAACTATTATTGTGACGAATTGTACATGTTATACATCTGTTTATTGAAAGCATGTGTGAGTGTGAAATATAACACTACATGTTTCCAATAAAAATGTTGATAAAATTAAAATGATAATTCAAGGGACATAAAGAACAGATACAAAATTGCAATTAGTCGCATTCATTCAATTGATCGCAATTTATATATATATATATATATTTAAGTTGCTATGTTCACCCTCTGCAGGTGATTATCCCTCTCTAAGCTCGGGTCCTCCAGAGGAGGGAGCTTGAGGGTGCTGCGTAGTATCTTTGCTGTTCCTAGCACTGCACATTTTCTGGACCGAGGTTGTTCCAGGGATCTTCTGGGACCACTCCTCCAGCTTCGGGGTCACAAGTGCAGTCATCACCACAGGCACTGCTGATATTGGAGCCTTTACAGCTGGCTACTTACAACATATTGGATATTTTGTGTGCTTCCTGTGTGCTCTTACTACTGTTCTGTTTGTGCTATGTGGCAGAGAATCTGTGAAATCAGTGAGATGTAGGTGTGCACGTAAAGCTGGAACAAGGAGCAGGAGCAGCCACGCCCACAGCAGCAGAAACAGGAGGGAGGGGGAAATCAAAGGTTCTGCTCTTCTAGAGACAAAATTGTGAACACATTTTTTTTTTCCTTTGAGTATGTTTTATATACTAGAAAGTTTCAAATAAGGCCGCACATCCCTATAGTTTGAGCTAGCGTGCTGGATTAAAAAAATGTAAGACGTAAAAACAGTGAAAAAAATCCGCACAGCTCTGTAGCTCCCAATCAGTGTATTTTGTTGTTACGTTTTTTATTGAAACGTAACATTTTTGATATGTAAATTAAATACACTGATTGGGAGCTACATAGCTGTGCGGATTTTTTTCACTGTTTTTATGTATTATGTACTTTCACACTCAGACGACTGAGGGGAAAGCAATGATGGAAAATGTGTATGAGGAATGGACTATAAATAATCACGCCAAAAACTGAAAGAAAATATATTTTTCGGTGCTCTCTTTAAAGTGCAAATACCTGTATGTGGCTCCCAAGAAGCTTGTAGACTTACTGCTACAAGAACGGGTATATTGTGCGAGACAATTACTATCGATGAATTTGAACCTGGGACCTTCTTTCTATTGTGTTAACACAAATACCACTGTCACCTATACGGTCAGTAAGTGATTAAAATGCAGTCCCTTCCACTGCTTTGCCCTTTTTAAAATCAGCAGAGTGAGAAAGCTGAGCCAGATGTGTGCCCGGCGTAGCCTCTTCAGTCACTGTGTTTAAATGAGTTCCACTTTTGTATAAATTATGGGCTCCCACGGCAGGGGAAGGACCCGCAGGTGGAATCATAGAGGATTTGGTAGAAAAAGAGACTTTGGATTCAACTTCCCTCTTTGTGTACTGTGGGGAAACTTTTGTGAACTGAGGAAAGGAGTTCTTACTTTTAAAGGACACACTTTATGCAAAATTGTTTCGAGACTGTAACCACAATACAACATAGTTCCCTCATTGCAAACAGACATGAACTCAACAGGTTGAGTACAAACTTCACGACTGAGTCATCGGTGAGAGCAGCAGCAGCAGCCGCGTCCTGAACGCTCTGCCTGTGTTTATACAGCACCCCTAGCTACAATCTTCAACATGATTTGTCAGTGGCACTGAATTTTAAAGAATTTGCTTTGTGGTGAAACTTTGTTACAAACAAAGAATTCACTAAAATAAAACAAACAATTCTTTACTTGCAGCCAATGTTCCCTCTAAGCTGCGCGCACACAGTCTCAGCTCACAAGAAAACTTGTGCTGCGCACAAAAATAAAGTTCAAAATAAACGTGTTAATTAATATCAAATATTAGACCTAATTTAATCTATTTAATTAGACCAATACTACTGTTTTCTGTTCATTTTGCAACATAACTCAGTGAGTGACAGGTGTTGAGCCAATAATACGATGCGGTTCACTCACCTACGTGGCCAATCATAGCATTGATTTGCCCTGCCCGTATGCGCCCATTGATGTACGCGCAGGTTAGCTAGCTAACGGCACGGCAATACTGAGGAGAGAGACGCAAATACGAAACCCTCATGATGGCAAAACGAACGAGCAGCGACACACCCACTCACCAAGCCAAAGTAAAAAAGAAATGCGGTTCTTTTAAGGTGGAATGGCTGTCGGAGAATGTGAAAATAGAAGAAGAAGTGGTAAAACTGGGTGAGATTTTTAATTTTTCGAGTGAGAAAGGACTACTCTGTAAAACATGCAGCGAAGCCAAAGTAGCGAGTGAATTTTCGGAGGGAAAAATGTGGACTGAATGGAAGTTGGACAACCTCAAGCGGCACATTCAGCACAAAAGTAATTTGAAAGCTGTAGGAATTGTACAAAGACTCAAGATGGGACAGTGGATTGGTACGTTAAGGAGAGCGCAAAAGACAGAGAGAAAAGGAACGTGCTGTCACTCAAAATAAAATCTCACCCCGAACAAGTTAAAGTTCTGATTGATAACATTTTACTTGCCATCAAAATGAATGCATCAATGCTGTCAGTTCAACAAATCCACGATCACATGGCAAAGTATGTGAGTATACCAGAAAACTGGCGAAGCAAAAACTATGCCTTTGAATTTGTGAACTCTATCAATGAGATCGTGAAAAATGAGACTATGTGCAGTGTTAAAAATTCTCCTTGGCATACCCTGATAGTAGATGAGAGCACAGATATATCAGTACACAAAATGCTTGTCCTATATATTAAGTATAGGGAGAAAAATTATGTTAACTATAAAACTGTGTTTGGTGGCATCACCCAGCTGACAGCATGCACTGCCCAGGATATTGTGCAAGCAATAACTCAGTTTTACTTCAACCATGGACTGGACATGCAGAGAATGGTGATGCTGACCTCTGATGGTGCCTCAGTAATGCTAGGAAAACACAACGGAGTCGCCACTTTGTAAAAGCGCCAAATTCCACACCTAACTGAACAACATTGTGTGGCCTATAGAGAGGACTTGGGTATTGATGAGGACTGGAAAGATGTACCTTTGATGCGAGATGTGGAAACTCTTCTTAGAACTGTGTATTCTACTTTCTCTCGGTCCACTGTGAAGAGGAGCAAAATGGAGGACCTAGCCAATCTTCTTGATGAAGATACACTGTCATTCAGACCTCTGAACAAAGTGCGATGGCTGTCGCGGCACCAAGCTGTCAATGCTGTTCTGAGGAACTACACTGTGCTTCAAGAATTCTACAAAAGAGAATTAACTGAAAACAGAGATCCAGTGGCAAAGTACTGCTACAAAAAGCTGAGCGATTCAAAGTTCAATGTTACTGTCACTGCTCTGGGAGACGTTTTGGGTGAGCTAGCACAACTCTGCCTCACTTTACAAAGACGCAACCTGACTGTGATGGAAGGACACTGCTTTGCTAGAGCAAAGATTGAGAAGTTGCGTTCCCAGTGCTTGAGGGAGAAGGATGTACAGTGGAGTGACCGTGTCAAAGAGGCAATGGCGACCTCAACAGCTTATGACAGAAATACTGGTGAGATTATTCTTTTCATTAGTAAGCTCTGTGATCACATGGATGCTCGTTTTCCAGAGGGTGAATTAAAGGAGTGGTCTGCATTCGACATTGAAGCATTGAGCTCAGACATCAGTTTTGACTATGGATCAGCAGACATTGCCACACTGGCGAAGAAGTATGAGGCCATTTTCCCCCACCCACAGTCCATGGAGGCCATTAACAGTCAATATGCTGAATTCAAGTACATAATGAAACAAAAACTTAAACAGGGGTCAATCAGCACATTCTCAGATATGGTTGCTGCAGCACTTAGATGTGAGGAGCTAAAGGAGATCTCACAGCTTGTGGATATTTGTGCCACATTTCAAGCTTCCAGTGCAGATTGTGAAAGAGGATTTAGCTTAATGAATCGTATTAAAACAGCATCCAGAAATCGTCTTGAAGTGGCACATTTTGACCAGCTGATGCGCATAAAGTCAAAGCAACAAGCAGACGAAGCCATCAACCTGGACAAAGTGTACAACCATTGGAGAAGTGAGAAGGACAGACGTGAAAAATAAGGTAAAATTTGAGTCAGATTTGTGTATATTCTAGTGACATTTAATCAAATTTCTTATTTATGGATATTTAATCATTAAAGGCTGTTACTTCTAGATAATGTATGGGTAGTAGAAATGCTAATAAATAATTGAGTAATAAGATTTTTTACAGACAAAGAGTTACAGGAATTTACACTGTATCACAAGCTACAGCACACATCATTGTGCAAAATGTGAATGTTTTAATGTGAACAAAATCTTTTGTCTTAAGGGTATATATGTATAATTTCTTCCAGATCATGACCCTCAGCCAGGCCACAACTGGACCTCAGCCAGGCCAAAGCAGGACTCTTCCCATGGCCACAGCAGGACTCTTCCCATGCCAAAGCAGAACTCTTCCCATGGCCAAAGCAGGACTCTTCCCATGGCCAAAGCAGGACTCTTCCCATGGCCAAAGCAGGACTCTTCCCATGGCCAAAGCAGGACTCTTCCCATGGCCAAAGCAGGACTCTTCCCATGCCAAAGCAGGACTCTTCCCATGGCCAAAGCAGGACTCTTCCCATGGCCAAAGCAGGACTCTTCCCATGCCAAAGCAGGACTCTTCCCATGGCCACAGCAGGACTCTTCCCTTGACCACAGCAGGACTCTCACATACTACACATCTCTTGAACAACAAGATGTTTGTCTTTTTCATTTAATGTGGGCCTAATTACTTATATTAAAAGTAAACTAGTGCAAATTGCTGCTGTAATTTGATTATTTTAATAAGCCATGTAATTAGCTATGATCCAAGGTTTTGAACAGGTGTGATACTGGTGTTTGGTCAGAGCGTGCACATCTGATGTTGCTCACAGTGGTCCTCAGTGGGCTCAGGGAGCTTGGGTGTTTGCCCAGACAAATGAAAAAATAGAGGGAACATTGGGCCTCATTCACAAATAACTTCGTAAGAAACTTCTTAAATTTCTTCTCAAGTCGTTCTTAAGTAGATTTCTAAAAAGAGCCTACGTGGGATTCATCAACGCGCTCTTAAGCCGCTGAATTGTTCGCAGCTGTTCTCTCAGATTGATGAATGCCAACTCCTCGTAAGTAGAGCGCGCGTGCCCGGTGCTTCATTAGCATAGGTACTTAGCATAGGTAACCGCCAGAGGAAACAGCAACAGGCCTAAAGCAAAGAGTTACACGGAGCAAAAGAGTCACCCTTTTTTCTTCTTTTGCCAGACTGAGAATAAAGTTATAAAATGTTGATTTAAAAGTCGAAATATTATGAGAATAAAGTCGAACTAGCAAAATTATGAGAATAATCTAAGAATATGATGAGATTAATCTCAAAATGTTATGAGCTTAATTTAAAAATATATTATGTATTATTTTAAAGATGAATCTCAAAATGTTTTGAGATTAATCTCAAAATATTTTGGACCCTGGGAGGAGATCCAGCACGGACCAGCGCTGAGACCAATGCAGACCCGCGGAGAGACTGGAGTGACCAGCACACAGAAACCAGCGCGGACAGGAGAGACCGCATAGACTGGAGTGACCTGACTGGAGAGACCGGTGCGCAGAGACCAGCGCGGACCGAAGAGAGACCGCATAGACCAGACTTGAGAGACCAGCGCGGACCCGTATGGATCCAGGAGCATGCAGCACGGAGCCGTATGGAGAGACCAGTGCGGACCCATCTAGAGCCATGGGAGAGACCAGTGCAGACCCGTCTAGATCCATGGGAGAGACCAGTGCAGACCCGTCTAGAGCCATGGGAGAGACCAGTGCAGACCCGTGTAGATCCATGGGAGAGACCAGTGCAGACCCGTATAGATCCATAGGAGAGACCAGCGCAGATACTCAGCGCTGGTAGTAACCTCCTGCAGCAGCAGTATATATGCCGTTGTTCTGTGGCCCGTGGATAAAGAAATGCCCCCTATAAATAGGAAGGGGTCACTAATACACGGAAAGATTTCCAATGTATTTTGAAAAGCGTTGGGACATTTAATTTGAAAATGAATATGAAAAATAATATGTAACCACAAAAATGAAATAATAGATTAAATACATACATCAATATGACAGACATATCACTGGAATGTTGTATTTTTATTAAACTTCACCAAAGAGGACAACCCCGGCGTGTGAACATGTCGGCACTGAATGCGTACGAGTGCTCCTGAGGACTCGTAGGATTTGTACTTGCCCAAGAGAAATTCTGGTTACGAGAAAAATTCGTGAATGCCACTTTCTTCGTAAAAACCTCGTAAGTAGGATTTACGTACAAATCTGTTCCTAAGAACCGTTCGTGAATGAGGCCCATTGCTTGCAGCTGACGTCACGTCCGCCTCATTACATACTGTATGTGTATTACAAAACGGTGGTCAGCCGAGCTAGTTGTTCACTAGAGCAGCGTGTTTGAATATGCCTTTTGCGTGTGTTGTTTTAGGTTGTTCTAAGGACACTTTAGGGTTCCTTGTGAAGAGATTAAGAAAGGGCCTCGCACCAAGGACTTTACGATAAGACGCAGAGAAAAGTGGCCCGCTAACTTACTTACACGGCTCTTTACGATGCAGGACTTGTCCGTCGGGACCTTAACGCAGAGTTCCTTAACCCATCCACAGATAGTTGTAGCATCCATGTTTTTTCAAGCCTTCATTTGTTTAGCAGTGCAAAAGCTTGATTGTAACACTGGATAGTTTGAGATATCCGGGAACTTAACTGGGAGGTATTTTTCTAACTCGCAAGTTAAATTGTTCTTGAATAACGCATTGTAATGCGTAAATACGTTACACAATTTGACTTTTTTGATGTATCGATCTCTAGAATTAGAATCTAAAGTGAAGAAAATAACGGTCTAGGATTGTGTCTTTAATTCAGACAGAAGACATATTTTATTGTTGATGGTGGACACCATGGACAGCACTAAAATGAGACCAGTGACGTCGCCCGGCATGGCGCAGCCGGGGCCCCACCCTGGAGCCAGGCCTGGGGTCGGGGCTCGTATGCGAGCGCCTGGTGGCCGGGCCTTAGCCCACGGGGCCCGGCCGGGCTCAGCCCGAAGGGACGACGTGGGCAGTCCCTCCTGTGGGCCCACCACCTGCAGAGGGGTCCGTGGTGGCGCGGTGCTAAGAGGACTGGGCAGCAGTCGAAGGCGGAGACTTCGGCGACCCAGTCCACACACACAACATCTGGCCCTTGGGACGTGGAATGTTCACCTCACTGGGGGGGAAGGAGCCCGAGCTCGTGGGGGAGGTCGAGCGATACCGACTAGAGATAGTCGGCCTCACCTCCACACACAGCTTGGGCTCTGGAACCCAACTCCTTGAGAGGGGATGGACGCTCCACTTTTCTGGTGTTTCTCGCGGGGAGAGGCGGCGAGCTGGGGTGGCCATACTAATTGCCCCCCATCTCAGCCGCCACGTGTTGGAGTTCTCCCCGGTGAATGAGAGGGTCGCGTCCCTCTGCCTTCGGGTGGGGGTCTAGTCTCTCACTGTTGTGACGGCCTACGGGCCTAACAGCAGTGCAGAGTACCCAGCCTTCTTGGAGTCCTTGGGAGGGGTACTGGACGGTGCACCAACCGGGGACTCCGTTATTCTCCTGGGGGACTTCAATGCCCATGTGGGAAATGCCAGTGACACTTGGAGAGGGGTGATCGGGAAGAACGGCCCCACTGATCTGAACCCGAGCGGTGTTCAGTTGTTGGACTTCTGTGCCAGTCACGGTTTGTCCATCACGAACACCATGTTCGAGCACAAGGGTGTCCACCAGTGCACGTGGCACCAGGACACCCTAGGCCGGAGGTCGATGATCGACTTTGTTGTCGTATCATCTGACCTTCGACCGCGTGTCTCGGACACGCGGGTAAAGAGAGGGGCGGAGCTGTCAACCGATCATCACCTGGTCGTGAGTTGGATCCGCTGGCAGGGGAAGAAGCCGGTCAGACCTGGCAGACCCAAGCGTATAGCAAGGGTCTTCTGGGAACGTCTCGCTGAGCCCCCTGTCAGACGGACTTTCAACTCACACCTCCGGGAGAGCTTCTCCCAGGTCCCGGCAGAGGAGGGGGATATTGAGTCTGAGTGGACCATGTTCTCTTCCTCTATCGCCGATGCGGCGGCTCGTAGCTGTGGTCGCAAGGTCTCTGGTGCTGGTCCCGGCGGCAACCCCCGAACCCGGTGGTGGACACCGGCAGTAAGGGATGCCGTCAGGCTGAAGAAGGAGTCCTATCGAGCCATGATGGTTCGAGGGACTCCTGAGGAAGCTGTCCAGTACCGGCAGGCCAAGCGTGCTGCGGCCCGGGCTGTTGCAGAGGCAAAAACCCGGGTCTGGGAGGAGTTTGGAGAGTCCATGGAGCATGACTATCGGTCGGCCTCGAAGAGATTCTGGCAAACCGTCCGGCGCCTCAGGAGGGGGAAGCAGTGCTTTGCCAACAACGTTTATGGTGGGGGTGGAGAGCTGCTGACCTCGACTGGGGATATTGTCGGGCGGTGGAAGGAATACTTCGAGGTTTTCCTCAACCCCCCCGTCACGTCCTCCGCCCCGAAGGCAGAGGTTGAGGATGTTGGGGCGGATACTTCCATCTCCCTGGCAGAGGTCACCAAGGTGGTTGGCAGCTTCCATGGTGGCAAGGCGCCGGGAGTGGATGAGATCCGCCCTGACTATCTAAAGTCTCTGGATGTTGTGGGACTGTCTTGGCTGACACGTCTCTGCAACATCACGTGGCGATCGGGGGCGGTGCCAATGGAGTGGCAGACCGGGGTGGTGGTCCCTCTCTACAAGAAGGGGGACCGGAGGGTGTGTTCCAATTATCGTGGGATCACACTCCTCAGCCTCCCTGGCAAGGTTTACTCCAAGGTACTGGAGAGGAGGCTACGGCCGATGGTCGAATCTCGGATTCAGGAGGAGCAGTGTGGTTTTCGTCCCGGCCGCGGAACACTGGGCCAGCTCTACACTCTCCATCGGATACTCGAGGGTTCATGGGAGTTCGCCCAACCTGTCCACATGTGCTTTGTGGATTTGGAGAAGGCGTTCGACTGTGTTCCCCGGGGTGTCCTTTGGGGCGTTCTCCGGGAGTACGGGGTCGGAGGTCCTCTGCTGAGGGCCATCCGATCCCTGTATGACCGGAGCCAGAGCTGTGTTCGCATTGCCGGCAGTAAGTCAGACCTGTTCCCGGTGAATGTTGGCCTCCGACAGGGCTGCCCTTTGTCACCGGTTCTGTTCACTGTATTTATGGACAGAATATCTAGGCGCAGCCAGGGGTCGGAGGGGGTCTCTCGGGGTCTTGTTCACGAGTGAGGGAAGGATGGAGCGTGAGATTGACAGGCGGATCGGTGCAGCGTGCGCAGTGATGCGGTCGCTGTATCGGACCGTCGTGGTGAAGAGGGAGCTGAGCCGAAAGGCAAAGCTCTTGATTTACCGGTCAATCTTCGTTCCCTCCCTCACCTATGGTCATGAGCTTTGGGTAGTGACCGAAAGAACGAGATCGCGGATACAAGCGGTCGAAATGAGCTTCCTCCGCAGAGTGGCTGGGCGCTCCCTTAGAGATAGGGTGAGGAGCTCGGTCACACGGGAGGAGCTCGGAGTAGAGCCGCTGCTACTCCACGTCGAGAGGAACCAGTTGAGGTGGCTCGGGCATCTGTTCCGGATGCCTC